GGGAAGCAGAGGCACGCAGATCTGAGTTTGAGGCAGCTTGGTCTAGAGAGTGAGTTCCAGAACAGCCAGGGCTACAGAGAAACCCTGTTTCGAAAAAATAAATAATTCTAAAAAATTTTCATGTCAATGAAATCTTTTCATAACCTCAATATAGATTCCAATGACGGGAATTCCAAGGACACAAACAATGACTTTCAGGAACTTGGTTCCTAGTTTTCTATCATTAGACATAACACGCCAATGACACACACAGCCCCATAGATCGAGGCTGACAATTTCTCTTAGATATGTTCCTAAGTTATAAATCAGAAATAAATGGTTGGGGTATCTGTTGTACTATCCTTTAGGAAGGCTATAAAGATTTATAAGAACAAACAAATTATGAAAGAGGATATAAAGCTAATGGATTTTTTAGTTCTAATCTGTCATGGCGGTTAATAGATGCATAAAAATAAATTCAACAGTAAAAATGTAAAATACAACATAAAGCACCACAGGTGCGGATGGCCTTAGAAAAAAATATAGGTGTTTTGTCTGTATGTTTGTGCACCACGTGTGTGCTCGCTACCCAGGGAGGCCAGAAGAGGGGTGTGAGATCCCTTACGGCTGGAGTTACAGATGGTTGTGGCTGCTGGAAGAGCAGACAGTGAGGTTAACTGTTGAGCTCCTCTCCAGCTCCCGAATGACTGTTCTAACTGCTCAATGGGACATAGAGACTTTTAGTCTGGTTAATTTTAGTGTGTGACTTTTTTATACTAAAGTTTATTTAAAAGTAAACACATCTTAAAAACCATTCCTCCAGAGAGTAAATATTATTTGAAGACAAACAAAAAATCGTAAGCTCGGATTCAAATTTTAGTTCAGCAAACTTTTAGTTTAGACAGTAGACACGTCTGCAATCCTCGTGTCCCAGAGACTACACGAGGTGTGGTGAACACGCCTCCAATCCTCGTATCCTAGAGATTAAGATAGGAGGACTGCAATGAATCTGAGGCTAACCTGGGCTACATAATGAGTACCATGCCAACTAGGGCAACACAGCAAGGTACTGTCTCTTAAAAACAAAAACTCAATCTAAATGTTATAATCTAGAAAAAGGAAGAATAATCCAGTGTGGTGATGTATACCTGCAACCCCAGCACTCAGAAGGCCGCGAGAGGAGGATCAGGAGTGTGAGTCCCGCCTCAGATACAGAAAGGCAACCATGCAACTGTGACCAAGAGGAGAGACAAACGACCACACACACACTCTAGGCCTGAAGTGGCTTTAGAGACATAGATGAAGAACCTTACAAATATGGCATTTCTGGGCTGGGGTGAAGCTCAGTGGTAGAGCACTTACAAAGTGTATGTGGGGCTCTGAGTCAGTCCCCAGCACTGAGGACAAACACACAAGCAAACCAATGCATTTCTCTAGTCAGTGATCTACACTTGGTATGTCCTACCCCAAGAAAACACAAAGATTTATAAGGAAGATATTCACTGTAACTTTTGTAACCTCACATAATTTTTTAAAATAAGTTTTTTAAAATAAAAATATCTACAAGCAGAACTTCTAAAAAATATGGACCCAAAATGAACTATTGAGCAATCATTAGGAGGTTATTTGAAAAATATTTTCAAACACATAAACAGTATCTTTACTAACAAGTTAAAAATTAAACCTGGACTCAAAAGTGTATGTGTGTATGTATATACACACACAGATATATTACATACTCAATATCGCTTAAAACTATGTGTTGAAAAAAGAAAAGGACTATTTCAAAATGCTAAGTGATACCTCTGAGTTCATGGATGATTCTCTTTCACAATGCTAAACGGTCTTCACATTTTATATTCTTTATAATGAACAGATATTACTTTGATAATTAGGAACAAAAAAAAACTTAAACTGTTAAAGCAACAATCAGCCAGTGGCTTTATTATATAAAGCAAAGCAAAGCAAAACTAATAGTGGAAACTCCTTCGGTGCCATCCAAATAGAGACAGGAACACACTGCAAAGTACACAGGGCTGCCTCCACTGTTTCCCTATCCAAACTTCAACCACACAACTGTAAGGGAAGGTAACAAAAGAGTAAGAATAACATGGAAATGATGTCTCTTCAGCCAGACTCTTACACTGGAGAGACCGCGGTACAGTGCACAACCTGCAGGAGCCCACGGAGACGCTGGTCACCTCTACTCTACTGAGTCAGTGAATGCCTCCATTCTGTCCCACAGTAATCAGACCTCAGTTTAGTACCAAAGAACAAAGAATTTCAGTTAGAAAGAATAATGGAGTAGGAAGCAGTGGAAAGAAAGTAGAATCTGAAAAGGGTGGGAAGCCAGTGGTTGTGAGGGAAGTCTCCTGTCAAGTTCTTCATCAAGTGTGGTTGAACAAGAGCACTGATTCTCTGACCGTTCTTCCTCTTCAAGGAGCATGGACTCTGCACTCTAAGGCAGACTCCAACTTGCTGAATGAGGAGTCTGACAGCTTAACAAGTTCACAGCCAGGAAGCAGCACAAGGGCCAATGTCCACTGCAGAGATGGAACCCCCTAGGATAGCAAGGAGGATCAGGCTCTGAGCCCTGGTCGGTGCTCAGAGGACAGCTGAATCTGTGACTGTCCCTCTGAGCAAACACATGAGGGCAGAAAGACAGCGAGAGGGGAGACTGGAAATTAAAATGCGAGACATCCTAACAGACCTTCTAGCATCCTAGGAGCCCTTTCGAGGGAGAAATCACCAAATGCTTTTTATAGAAAAAACAGACCCCAAGGGTCAAGTAATTTCTCCAAGGTCACAGAACATCTGCTGCAGAATGACTTTTCCTTTTGGATTGTAAGCTTCTGGTTCTTTCCCAGTATGCTTTTGTAGAATTAGCAGAGAAACACTTTAAAATACATGTTTCAAAGCTGGAGAGGTGACTTAGTAGTTAAGAGCACTTACTGCTCTTTCAGAGGATTCAAGTTCAATTCCCAACACCCACATCAGTTGCTTTAGCTACCTGTAATTCCAACTCCAGGGGCTCTGATATGGGGCACTTGCACTCACTTGTATATCTCCCACAAAAACACACACGTATACATAATATAAAAAATCTTTTAAAAACACCATTTCTAGGAAATACACTAAATCAGAAGATGTAGGAACGATGCTCAGGAACCAAAGTTCCCCTAGGTGATTGCTGGCTGAACTACAACCAGAATGCTAACTGCTGGTTCAAAATGAGGACAGTGATTCACTCCACGCCTCCTCCAGGCCCCAACAGCGCTCCTGCTTTGCCTGCGTCTTCTTTCACGCCCCAGTCACACCCAGCTTTCCCCAGCTTTCCTAAAATGATGCTTTCATTGTGTACACAGCAGCTCTGAGGTCTACCAAACACTTTGTATGACATTACTCATTTCATTTCCTAAGTCCTCCGATATTGCCTCCTACAGTGTTCTCTACCTGGCCTCCACGGTCACTTTTCCTAGGCACACATGTGATCTCATTGATTGAAAAATGAGACCTTTCCAGAAAGTTACTGGATAAGAACTGCCTGGGAAGCACTAAAAAATTTCCGGCACCACTCCAGATTCACCGACTTAGTATCTGGGAGCAAGCCTCAGATACTTGCCTAGGGGTGGGGACAAGTGCACACGTATGTGCACAAGTGTAAAAACCATGTTTTCATCAATCACTCCCCACCTTGGATTTTGGGTCAGAGTCTCTCACTGAACCTAGAGCTCACCTTCAGCTAGAATGTCTGGCCAGCGAGCCCCAGAGTTCCTCCATCTCCACACCCTCCCATCCCTACGCTGGGATTACAGGCAAGCACCTCCATGTGGGTTCAGAGGGATCTAATTCAAGTCCTCGTTCTTACATAGCAAACGTGTTACCAGCTGAGTAATCTCCCTAATTCCTAGACCTCTTCATTTTTCCTAAGGATAAAATATTCTTCATCAAATGTTCACACACACCCTTCAGACTCTATGAAGTAAGTCGATACTTCGAAGCAGCAATACTATCTGGCTTGACCATGCAACAAGCTTAGCCAATGGGAAGGGACAGAGCAGGTCCCTGAAATGAACTTAGGTGGTTGGATTTATAGTCCTGGCACCTACTGTTGCCAAGAAAGGATGTTCTGGCACTTGTTGATACTGGAAGATTGTGATATATAAAGCAAACTTGAGCCCGATCTATGGTTTGAAACTGAGCTCACAAGTCCAACCTAGAACTATCTAGCCCCAGCTGGCCCACAGAAAGGAGAGTAAGAAATGAAATCATCCAGTTTTAGGTAGCTGGTTACATCATTATTGTGGCTCCTGGTACTGACACAGATGCATAGTCAATGTGGAAATGCTCTGGACATTGTTCACATTCAAATTCCTTACCTGGTATATAAGACCTTTTAGGATGTGGTCACTCTGTTTCCTCACTCACTGCCTTCACTAGGATTAAGCCCTGCTGGTCCAAGTGGGAAATGTTCTTTTCCATCACCACAGTCTGCTCTTGCTCTTGTCTACATGACCCTGACCTTTTACTACTGCACTCCAGCAGCACAAAGAGAACACAGCTGCTCACTCCTCCACACTCAGAAAGCTAGACAGCAAGGCAAGCAGCCCTAGGTCTGGATCCGATCTCTATCACTATCAGCAAGAGTTTGAGCAGGTTCCCAAACTTTCCCAACCAGGTCTCCTCACTCTCCTCTTACAATCCTGCTGCTGTTTCAGTGATGGGGACTGAATGCAGGGCCTTGTGAATGCTAGGCACTTGGCTGTTCTTCCAGCCTCCAACTCAGTTTTGTAGTGATGGAGGAAATGAAGTAAAGTGTCCAGCAGAGAGCCTAGCACACAACCAAGGATCAACAGCCTCTTCTCCTCTTCTGTGGATCTTTCCAGGGTCTACAAGGCTAGACTTAGAACAGGGACTTAGTGTTGACCAGAGGCATTCTGTTTTGTTGTCCCTGCTTCAGATAGGAATACACAGACTCCTCAGGTCAGACACAGAAACACTACATCTGTTGGCAACAGTACCTGTTTCTCTATGAGCCTGATGGTGTCCTCCGAGGCTTTGTCCTTTGATTTCTTCAGCTTATTCATTGCATTAGTGCGAACCTTCCGTAAATTTTCTTTGGCCTTGTTGGTGCTCTGTTTGGCCAGTTTTACCAGCATTTCTCTGTGTTCCCTGGTTACTCTGAAAAACACACACACACACACATACACACACAAAAATTGAACAAAACTATTTTTTCTAGTAAGATGCTGACCACCAGTCAAGAATTTAACACCATTCTGTTTACTAGCTCAACAGTCTACAGCTTTGATCTGTTAGCTGACAACCTTCACACTCCTGACAGATGCCAATACACATGCTTAGTTCCCATTGACTTATCTGGTAAATGCAAGTAAGAGACATTACAGAACCAGACAGGCGAGGTGGACCCAGAGTCAACACTCAGTCAAGCTACTTACAAGATGCAGACATGTCTTTTCAAAAGTCTATCAGGACCCAACAGGCGGGACGGACTAAAATGAGCATTTTCCATTGACCCTGACACATTTGAAAAGTTCAATAAAAGGAACCAATCAGTCACAATTAGCTTTCCCTTCCTCCAAAATGTTCTTTTCCATTCCACAGCAATGCAAATTGAGGGACACTACAGAAATAATGCTATTACTAAACTTCTACATCACTCAACTTTCAGCATCCTGATTACTATGACTAAATAGTTAGGAATCACCTCAAACCCAAGATAGAGCACGAGTCCCCTGAAACACATAACAACCGCAGCACCAGTTGACTCAGAAAGCACCTTTGAAAGTATTCAGCAACCTATCAGGACTTGGTGAATGCTATCAGTCTGGTTTTGTTTTGCTTGTGTGTGCTTGCATGAGTGGTTCTGGTTGTCCTGGAACTTACCATGTAGATCAGGTTGGCCTGCAACTCAAAGATCCACCTGCCACTGCGTCCTGAGTGCTGGGATTAAAGGCATGCACCACTCAGATAAATGTCGGTTTTTATTGTCAGCATCTTCATCATCACAACAATGAGTGTAAACCATTAAGAAAGGCATTTTACTACAAACGCCATTAATATTTCACATTTAATCATTATAACAACCTAGCAACACAGTCCAGCATAAATGTCCTGCCTTCTTTTCTCCATCTTGTAAACACTGAGTGCTAAGAACTGAGATAATGGATTTGGATGAAGCTATTGCTCTTCATCCCGCTCCTACAGAATTTAGCTAAAGAGAAAGGCAAGAAGACATTCATCAGAGTGTGAGAAGTGCTGTCGTGACTGAAGTAAAAAAAGAAAGGGGGCCATAAAGGAGCAGCTCAACAGACCTGTCCTAGAGAAATGACACCTAAATGTGTCAGGTCATTAGGTCAACTCACCAATGCTCTGGGTGTCTTGCTCACAGGCACAACCAGGAATGCATGTTCCAACCCTAAAATTACACTACACAACTTGCATAATTTAAGGAAATGTGTGTAAAAATGTTGGGCATGAGCTCAGGGCAGAAGCTTCCAGGTCACATTTGTTTCTCTGGATCATAGCACAAGCTGAGATAGAGTATCCATCAGCCCAGGATGATTATAAAGAAGAATACCTAATATGTAGTTTGGGAAATACATATCTATTATTATAATCCATGGTGAAGTGTTATAAACCATAGAGATTTGTCACTTGTCACTGCAGCATAATTTACACTAATCCTAACTAGATTTGAAGATTAAGTTCAAGTTTCTAGTGCTAGCAGGGCAAATAGGATTCCCAAGAAAAAGCATGTGTAAAAGCTTTGAGGTGTTTCATTTGAGGAACCAGAAGAGCAGATAACAATAAAAGGAGTAACAAGAGACGAAGGCTTGAAAGCTATATCCTGGACGGTCTTACTAGATCATGAACCCTGTCCTAGTCAGGTTACTATTGCTGTGATGAAACACCACAATCAAAAGTAACTTGGGAGGAAAGGGCTTATTTGGCTTATACTTCATCATCACCATCAGGACAGGAACTCAAACGCTAGGAACCTGTAGGCAGGAGCTGATAAAGATACTATGGAGGGGTGCTGCTTACTGGCTTCCTCAGCCTGCCTTCTTCTTCTTCTTTTTTTTTTTAAAAATTTATTTATTTATTATGTATACAGCATTCTGCTTACATTCATGCTTGCAGGCCAGAAGAGGGCACCAGATCTCATTACAGATGGTTGTGAGCCACCATGTGGTTGCTGGGAATTGAACTCAGGACCTTTGGAAGAGCAGGCGGTACTCTTAACCACTGAGCCATCTCTCCAGCCCTCAGCCTGCCTTCTTATGGAACCCAGGACCACAAGTTCAAGGATAGAACTATCCCCAATGGGCTGGGCCCTCCTCTATCAAGTCCCAGGCTTGCCTATAGTCTGATCTTATGGAGGCACTTTTTCTTTTTCCTTTTTTGAAAGTCTATTTCTTTTTTTTTCCATTAAAAAATTTACACTTCCTCCCCTCCTTCCATTCCCCTCCCCCTCTTCCCTCTCCCTCTTTAAGAGAGGGCAGGGAACACCTGCCCTGTGAGAAGTTCAAGGCCCTCCCCACTACATTCAGGCATAGGAAGCTTTGCATCCAAATAGACTAGGGTCCCAAAAAGCCAGTACATGCAGTAGAGACAAGTCCCAGTGCCTTTATCAATGGCTTCTCAGTCAGCCCCCATTGTCAGCCACATTCAGAGAGTCCGGTTTAATCACACGGAGGCATTTTTTCAATTGAGCCTCTCTCCTCTCTGATGATTCTAACTTGTGTCAAGTCGGATAACACTAGCCACCACAAACCCCATTTTTATAGATGAAGAAAATGAGGTCCAACCAAATGTGGTATCTTTGTTGCTATTCAGGGACTTTTGAGACAGGGTCTCACTATGTCACCCACAATCTCCCCAGTGCTGTGATTACAGACATACGCTGCCAGGACCAGCCTAAATTTGGAATATTATTTGTAGTCAAACCCAGAATGACCTGTCTCAAAAGTCATTGATTGATTTTTTAACAAACTCCTCTGCCCCTGAGATCAACAATCCTGGGTGAGCTGAGCAAGCACAGTCCCAAGTTCAAGGCACAGTAGTAGTGATTCAATGGCTCCCAAGTTCTGGGTACATGCAGTGTGTACGGGCGAGGGAGGACACATGGTAAATATTTCGTGACATCTACACATTGTTTTTTTTCCATGACAAAAAGAATTTAAATAAAGACAGTCTCTAAAGACAAAGCAGACAGTTAAATTATGAGATCACTAAGCACCTCCAAACCTCTCCTCAAATTAAGAGTCCCATTTTTTCTAAACAAGAAACTGAGTCTCAGAGATGTTAAGTGACCGACCCACGGGTTTGAGTAACAAGACTGGGATTCAAACCTAGATCTTTCTGGCCTGTACCCTGTAATCTATTTCCAATAAATCACGAACTTTTGCTTCCAGGCAGAAAGCTTTCAAAGTCGTAATACAAAGCTTGGGACTGAAAAGGACAAAACCACCATGTCAGGAGTTTAGGGATTTGGATCTGATCTTGTTACTTTTATGGTTTTTAATTCACTGAATGAAAATCATGCTGACATGTTTAGGTCCCTTTTTTGTTTTGCCAAAGCATATGTCAGTATAAAGAAGGAACAGGAAAATTAAAACTTGATCCACTGATTCAAAAAACCTAATCCTGCTGAAATACTAGGAGGAACAGAAAAGAAACGAAGAAACCTCTTAAACCTCTCCAAAAAGATCTTCTTAAAATACTTCAATCTTGTGTTTCATACATAATTTGCAATAGGTATCCCACCGTTGAAAAACCTTTAATAAAGAAAGTTAACTAGCTTTTCACTGCTTTGTTTATATTTCAAATGGAAAAAACCCACACATTTTAAAGAAGCATAAATTGGGACTTGAAAAGCCTCAAGAATAAAAGGTTATATAAAAAACGAAATCATTACATGTAAAGTAGCCTTAACACAATGTATTATTTTACATAAATGTTATTACCACAAACTAACAGCAGTTTCTAAGTGTAACAGTGTATAACTATTACTGACATTTAAAAAAAAATACATGCTTTAGGATTCACATTCACAGCCAGTTGTCAAAAAATATATTAGGAAAAGGAGAGGGAAATGCAGCAAGAATGGGGAAAGAGGTGAGAAAAGCTGGATATTGGGCACAGAAAGGGTCAAGAGGAAGAAGGGCAGCTGTACTGGTGGATACTGAGCTTGTACTGCACAGTAAATACAAGAGCAGACACCTAGGGCAACAGTACCCTGAAGACAGTCATCCACGAGAAAGCTACTTAATCAAAGAAGACAAAAAATGACATCGCAGAGAGTGGTTCAGAGAAGCAGATACAACAGAGAGAAAGTACAGAGAGGGGGGGCAGCATAAAGTAGCCTCAAATACATGAGAGTGTTTATGGATGTTTTAATCAAACACATTTAATTGCTTCCTCATGAAGCAACAAGAGCACATCTGTTTTAGAAAAGAAACACACCACATTATATTATGGAAATATCTTAATCCCTTTCCAGTCCAGTGATTAATACATCAGATCATCTGCAGCTCACATTCATGGGGCTCTGGGAGTGGACTCACGTTTGTGTTCCAGGCGCCTGGTTGTCCGCTCTACATTGTACCCATTTGCTTCTCAAGCAACAGCTGAGCCCCTTCAGCTGCATGCCAGATCCTGTGCTAGTTGACACACACTACAGAGAGGCATGTCTAGTCTTTCCCCAGACACTGAAAAAAGGTATTGTGACTAGAGTGGAGGGAGCAGGAGGTAAGGACACCCAAAGTGAGGAGGCTGGCAGGGCTGACAGGTGCAAAGCCACATAGTGTCATACTGAATCATATGCAATGGAATGTTAGCCAGCCTTCAAGAGGAATGTAATTCTGATACATGTACACATTGATAAACCCAAGTGAAACAAAATCAGCTCAGACAGACACACATTGCATGACTCCATCTATATAAGATTCCTAAAGTAGTCAGAGACAGAAAGCAGAATGGTTTCCAGGGATCTCGTGTGTGTGTGTGTGTGTGTGTGTGTGTGTGTGTGTGTGTGTGTAACTCTTTGTGTAGCCCTGGCTGTCCTGGAACTTGCTCTGTAGACCATGCTAGCCTCGAACTCAGAGATCCACCAGCCTCCATTTCTCTGGGATTAAAGGTATGAGACACCACCACTG